CTGGGGACGGGGAGACACCCCTTATCAACAAGGGTGCCTGAACGATGCATATTTGTATACCTAACCCTTAACTGTACCCCACAATTTTAAAATAAAACATATGTTAAAAAATATATATATATATATAAAAGGTTAAAAGCAGTACACCTTTTTAGGGCACTTACCATGAATGGAGCTTTCAGGAATGGAAGTTGCTCTGAGTCAGTGAGTGAGTAAAGAGTGAATGTGAAGGCCTGGGACATCACTGTACACTACTATCGACTTTATAAACACTGTACACTTAGGCTACACTAAATTTACAAAAGAATAAAGTAATTGCACTACAACATTATAACTGCTACAATATCACTGGGCAACAGGAACTTTTCAGCTCCACTATAACCTTATGGGACAACTGTCATATATGTGGTTGTGGTTGGCCAAAATGTCACTATGAGGCACGTGACTGTAATTCAAAGGAGACAAAGCTTATGAAAATATTTTATATACTACCATGTAAGCTTACCACAGTTTCAGAGAACCTAGTGCAATTTAAGTGTTCGTGTTATAAGTACTTGGAAGCCATAAATTAAAGACTCACCATTTTTTTTCTAAGTGAAAATAAAATTGTGACACTTTTGGTGATTTAAAAAATACTGTATTCTTGGTTTTTTTTTTTAGGCTGCATGCTTGATGTAATAATTCAAGTACAAAAGTATATGAAGTGAAGTCTTCGTGGATCTCACCTCCACCCCCAAACCCACTGCCTCAAACTTGCTGTTGACCCTTCCAGAACTTGTACTGCATATTGAAGATATGTTGCACAAATAGGATTATATAATCCATGAATGCCTTATAACCTACATTTAACAAATACTTAATCATATATTGTGGGCAATTTTCAATGCTAATAGATTTATATCTACTTCATCCTTTTTAAAGCTGACACCAGTTCTTAATTCTGCCTAAATACTATATTCACTAAGAGAACTTAAAAAAGAAAGCAAACAAAAAATCAAAACAAACAAAAAGGTCAAAACCAATGTTCCAAACACCTAGATCAATTGATCAGCGTCTCAGAGGGAAGAGGTCTATGTGAATACACCATAATATATCAAACCAATACATTTTGATGGCCATTTAGGTTACATGGTCCATCCTTACACCTGATATTTGTATACTGTCTGCCATACTTGTGAATAAACACTTTCTTTGCCCACTTTTCCTAAAGAAGTTAGTTTTGATTAAAAGTAGTTCTTGGCCGGGTGCGGTGGCTCAGCCTGTAATCCCAGCACTTTGGAAGGCTGAGGCGAGAGAACTGCCTGAGCCCGAGAGTTTGAGACCAGCCTGGACAACTTGGTGAGACCTCGTCTCTACAATAAATCACACAAAAAAACTGGCCAGGTGTGGTGGCGTGCGTCTGTAGTTCCAGCTACTTGGAAGGCTGAGGCGGAAGGATTGCCTAAGCCCAGCAAGTCGAGGCTGCGGTGGCTGTGAGTGTGCCACTGCACTCCAACCTGGGCAACAAAGAGTGAGACTCCCACTCAAAAAAAAAAAAAAAGTAGCTCTTATTGTATTAATCCAAGTTTTAAATATTATAGAAGCCCATTGTAAAAAAGCCTAATATTTAACATTGTTCTTCATAGGACTGGTTACATACATTTTTAGGGCCCAGTGCAAACTGAAAATGTAGGACACTTTGTTCAAAAGTTATTAAAAAATTTAAGATAATGACAGCAGAACATTAAGCCAAACATGAGACCCTTCCAAGTGCAAGTTGTATGCCCATAAAGCCCCCCGGCTTCTATGATATGTTGGATTATTTGGCTATAAAGGTTGAAGAGAAAATATTTATCATGAATGAATGGTTGCATCTCTAAGCTCCCCCCCAATTGAAAAATTATGTAATTCTTAGTAACCCTGGTATGCAAGATAGTACAAGCCCTTTATACAGCATAAGACAGAGATTATTGTCTGCTGATAGCATTAAAATGTTTTTAATTTCTAATATAGAATGAAATTTACTGTACTTGATGCCAGAAGTACATCAAGTAAATTTTTGGCTCCTCTAGCACTGGTCAGCTATCCACTTTAGTCTTAGAGAAAGAGTAGAACAAAAGACAGAAAGTGTAGCAAGGTAGAATGGGGACCCAAGCCTCTAAACATCTTGCTCAGAAATTAAGAAGTTTCTTAATATAATCATGTTCCTTTGTCCCTAAATTTCTTTGGTATAGGCATTGCAATTTATCTACTAAAAATACAAATGACATTAAAAGAGGCTGTTGCACTGACCCTGCATTTAATTCCAGTGACCACCATTTATATTATGCCTTCTGAAACATATCTCACTTAATCACAACTGCCCTTAAAAAGATATTGTTATTCCCATTTTTCTTGAAGCTGAAATTCAGAGAGGTAGGTGAATTTGTCCAAGATCACAAAGAAACAGAGCCTGGGTTCAAACCCCACTTCCATCTGACTAAAAAGGCCATGTTTTAATCTTGAAAATAAAAGAGAAGTGAGAACACCATTGGAAGACTGGACGGAAGTTGGTGAGATGCATTTACTAGCCAAGGAAAGCAAGGATTGCCTGTAACCAGGATAGGAGAGAGGCATGGCATAGATTCTCGCTCAGGACCTCCAGAAGGAATCATCCCTGCCAACACCTGGATTTCGGAATTCCAGACCCCAAAACTGTGAAAGAGTAAATTTCTGATTTTTAAGTCACCTGGTCTGTGGTATTTTGTTACAAACGGCCCTAGGAAACTAACACACAATGCATCTACTTTGGAGCAATAATGGGATGGTAAGAGGCTAGAAAAGATGAAGATGGTGATTACTACAAATACGTGTGCATCTCATGCTATTTACTTGCCAACCACTACCTTACTGATTGATTCCCAGGCACACTGCTCACAGCTAAAATACTCTGGGACACTTGCATACTTCTGCTCTACTGGTTGTATGCTTACCAAGAGCCAATTATGTTTACTCCCAGTTGTTCTAAGTTTATACTTTGATTTTTAAAATAAAGAATGATTTTATTAAGGATTTATGTTAATCCATCCTAGAGTAGAAAATAAGAGAGTTCTTTAAAGGATGAACATTATTTTCCAGGTCCTGATGAGTTCTGACTTTTTGTGATTCTTAACCCGATCTACTAATGAGCTAACCACATATAGCTAACCCAGATGTTTGTCTATTTAATTTGCCTAAGTTCACACATCCCAGAAATGGTGAAGTCAAGTTTTAAACTCAAGTAGTCTGGCTCCAGGGGCCATTTAAAAAAAAAAAACTTTATTTTATTTTAAAGATATGGAGTATGCCGGGCACGGTGGCTCAGGCTTGTAATCCCAGCACTTATAAGCTGAGGCGAGAAGATTGCCTAAACACAGGGGTTCAAGACAAGCCTGGGCAACTTGGTGAGACCTCGACTCTACAGTAAATTAAAAAAAAAAATTAGCCGGGTTTGGTGGCATGTACCTGTAGTTCCAGCTACTTGGAAGGCTGAGGTGGAAGGATCACCTGAGCCCAGCAGGTCAAGGCTGCGGTTGCCGAGAGCGTTCCACTGCACTCCAACCCGGGTGACAGAGACTTCAATTCAAAAAAAAATATGTACATAAGGATTAGGTACATAATTATGTGCAAGTGAGGTTTGGGCCTCCAACTGGTTCTCACTTCTCCTGGTTTAGAATCAGGTATCCTTTATGTTGTTACGTGCCCCCTCCTTCCTCCCTTCCCCTGGCGGTGCTCCACGACTGTCCATCCCTTCCTTGTGCAGTTGTGAGTAATGTTCTCACTCATAAGTGGGATCTAAACATTATTCACAGAGGCCATCCTTTTAACTACGGCGGGATATTGCTCCCTTCCCCCCAGCGCATATCACTTGCACTAATTAAAAGATTTCTTTAATCTAAGTAGGTGTAGAAAAGCAATGATAAAGAATCAGGGCCCTGGTGTACTGACTACTGGGTCATCGGGGTTCCACCCACACCTGCCCTCTGTGAACATTTCCCCCATCCCTTATGGTCCTTATTTGCAATTCTCTTTGAAGTGATCGATTCGACTTTTAAAGATCCTTTTGTTTTCTTTTTTGAAGCGGTGGAGTCTCCCTCTGTTGCCCAGACTGGTCTTGAACTCCTGGTCTCAAGCGATCCTCCCGCCTCGGCATCCCAAAATGTTGGGATTAAAGGCCTGAGTCACTGCGGCCGGTCAAATAACTTTTTTTTTTCTTTTCTTTTCTTTTCCATTACCTGTTTCTGTTTTGGGAGTATCTTTCTGCACCTTTGACTTGGGCCCTGGTTTGCAGGCTCACGTGTTTCCTGTTTCTCCATCCTAGGGGCGGGGCTCGATCCTGCAAGCGAAACCACGCTTGTCCCCTTCGGCTTGCCGTCCTCGAAGACATGGCGGCCGCCGCGCTCCCGATGTGGCTGGCCCTGCAAGCGGGGACCCGGGCCCTACGTGCGTTCTCCACCTCCGTGTCCCCGGCCACTCACGCTCCGAGACCCGCCCCGCGTGAGTGTCTGCCTCGTCGCCTCCGGGCTCGGAGGGAGGTGCGAGGGCGGAATCCCGATCCCACGATGGCCGCCGGGGAGGCCGGCGCGACCTCTGCCAGCTTGTTGCCGGTCCGCCTCGTGTGTGGGCCTGCCCCCTGCGCCCGCGTCCACCCTCCTAGCCCCCGGCTTCTTCCCTGAGTCCTCGGGGCGCCTGCCCAGAAAGCTTGCACCTGCCTTCCCCGGGGCCCGCTCTTCTGCTGCTCCTGCCCACGGCCGCCTGCTCAGGCTCCCTCCGGTTCCCTGCGCTCGGTAACGTTTGCCCCGCAGCCTTGAGCCTGGGATTTTCCCGAACGTTGAGAGAGGCATTCGGCGGTGCTGGAGCAAACTGCTGCGCTCTATTTCAAGCCACCAAAGGGGGTGATGATCATCCGCAGGCGTTACTGAGGTGACCTTCATCCAATGGAGACGACTATAGGGATGCTTGGTAGCGTTCTTTCTTTTTTTTTTCCCCTTTGAGTCAGAGACTCACTTTGTCGCCCAGGCTGGAGTGAGGTGGCACCCTCACGGCCACAGCAGCCTCCACCTGGGGGGCTCAGGCGATCCTTCCGCCTCAGCCTTCCAAGTAGCCGGAATACAGGCGCGCGCCAGCACGCCCGGCTGATTTTTTGATATATTGTAGAAACGAGGGCTCACCAAGTTGCCCAGGCTGATCTCGAACGCCTGGGTTCAGGCAGTCTTCTCGCCTCAGCCTCCCAAAGTGCTTGAGCCACCCCGCCCGGCCGGTAGCGTTCTTAAGGCCTCAGGAGTCTCGTGGCAAAGACGTTTACTGACCGGGAGGTGCTAGGGTAGAGTGAGAGGAGCTCTGATAGAATTGTGGACAGAGTGACAGGGCAGCGTGGAGGAGGAGCCGGCACGAGTCAGGAAGGGGTTCAGCCGAGGAGTGGGCACAAGCAATCATCAGGTCCTATCAGTTCTGCTTCCTATAGTATCTCTAATTTACTCTCTTCATTCTAGTCTAGGCTACCGGCTCTCATTTCTACAGTAGTTAGCTTTCTGTTTTCCATTTACCCTCTGGCTTTCCTGGATTGAATTTCCACAACGGCCAGAGTGAAGTGTTCAAAAATGCAGATCTCCTCTTGCCGCTCCCCTGTTAAAATCTACAAATGGTTTCCTTTTGCTTTAAGATAAATGATGAATTCCTTGATGCTTCTTAGGGGCTCTTCATAGTCCTAACACTTGTCTATTTTTAATTTTTTATTCATTCGCCTACAAATACTGAACTCCCACTGTATACTAGGCAATGTTCTAAACACTGAAGATACAGCAAAGTCCCGATGTCATGAGGTTTACATTCTTCTGTGGAAGTCAGAGTATAAACAAGTAAACAACTATATATGACATCAGGTAGTGTTTAGTGCTATGAAGAAAAAATATAACAAACTTTGAGAATGATGGCTTGGGGGCGTAGAGGCTATAGGGTAGGGTAAGATAAAGTAGGCAGGAAAGACTTCTCTGACCATGACGTTTGAGCAGAGCCCAGAGCCACACTGAGATCTGGCGAAAGAGCATTGTTGGCATAAGGACCTGCAAGTGCAAAGGCCCAAAAGTGAGAACAACCTAAGGGGTATGATCAAAGGAGCTAAGTGAGCAAATGGGAGAGTAGTGGTATAAGACATCTGAAATTAAGTAATGACTTGATCCGTAAGGGCTGGTAGGCATTCCATTTGGATTTGGGGCTTGTATTTTATTCTAAGTTTAAGATCACATTGGAAGACTTTGAACAGGGAAGTGGTATGATGTGAGTTACACTTTTAAAAGTTCTTGGCTGCTGTGTGGAGAACTAACTTTAGTGGAGTAGGAGACCTGTTTGGATTAGTCCAAATGAGGTGATGGTAACTGGGTTTGGGGTAATAGTGGAGAAGGTTGGTGTGGTTGGATTCGTGATGTATTTTGTAGGTAGAGCTGTAGAGCTGCTAGAACTTATTGATGGTTTTAATGTAGATCTTGAAGATACGTCTCAACAAACTGCTAGATCTTTGTTGTGAGCAATTGGATGAATAATGATAACATTTACAAGAATTGGGAAGACTGGAAGAAGGAAATCAAGAGCTCTGCCAAGGATGCATTATAGTTGAAAAGCCTGTTAAATATCCTCATCCTCTTTTTTTCTTTCTCTGTTTTCTAAAATTTCAGCTGTATTGAATTTGTTTACTTACTTTGATTTTTCCATATTCTTTCACTCTCTTGAAACGCTTTTTCTCACTTGTCTGTCTTCATGGCTACCTCCTGCTCATTCTTCAGATTTTAACTTAGCGTTCACTTCTTCAGGTACATCTTCCCCAACTGTATTAGTCAGGGTTTTCCAGAGAAACAGAACCACTAGGAGATAGATTGGATGGATAGATGGATGGATGGATGGGAGGGGATTTATTAAGGGAATTGGTTCATGTGATTATGGAGGCTGGGGCAGAGGCTGAGAAGTCCCATGGTAGGTTGTCTGCAAGCTGGAGGCGCAGGGATGCTGGTAGCATGGGTCAGTCCAAGTCCAAAAGCCTCAGAATCATGGAAGCCATCGGTGGAACTCTCAGTCCAAAACTGAAGACCCAAGAACCCTGATGCAAGTCCTGGAGTCCAAAGGCTGGAGACCCCACAGTTCTGATGTCCTGGGGCAGGAGAAGAGCGATGTGGCTTCAGGAGAGAGAAACAGTACATTCTCCTTTCCTCTGCCTTTTTGTTCGCTCTAAGCTCTCAGCTGATTTGATGGTATCTGCCCACATTGAGGGCAGATCTTCCTCACTTAGTCCAGGGACTCACACACCTACCTCCCCTAGAAGCACCCTCACAGACACAACCGGAAATAATACTTTATCAGATATCTAGGTATCACTTAATTCAGTTAAGTTGACACTTAAAATTAATCATGACACAAACTGTTTGACTAGGTTCAGTTCCCTGCTTTGTGTGTCTTTAATAAATATCACTGTTTATTGAAATTACTTGTTAAGAAGTTGTCTTATTTGACAGACTACATTCTGTTAGAGCAAGGACTGTATCTGTTTTGTTCATTACTCCTTCCTAGTTTCTTGTACACAGTGTGACTCAAGCAGTTTTTGAATGAATGAATACTGCAGGATGAATAGGAGCTTTTCAGATGCAGAAATTGAGTGAAAGAGGAAGGAGCAGGAGCCAGCCAGAAGAAAGGAAAACATATTCCAAGAAGAGAGAACAGGAAATTCAGAGCATGATTAAGGAGCCAGGCTCTGGAAGTTCAGAGCAGTGAACCTTATAAAGGGAGTTGAAGCTAGAGATAGTGGTTCAGAAGATGAAGACTTGTGTGTCCTGCTAATATCACCTTAACTATTTGCTCCTTAGTTTTCTTGACCATAAGCAGCCTCTAAATAAGGATAATTATAGTACTAAATAGTAATGGATAAGATTAAGTGAGATGATGAAAAGTATTTAGCAGTATCTATGTGTGAAAGTGCTCAATAAATAATAGCTATTTAGTATAGCAAAACATTTATTTAGAGGGGCATATTTTAAAAGGTATTTACTGTATGTGAGTAATCTACCTTTTTCTGCAGTCATGTGACTTATTAGGATTGACTGATTTTTGTTATTGGTGTTATTGTAGTATCAGCAGTTCTAATATACAACAGAGAAGGAAAAACTGGACATTTTTTGTTTTTTTGTGGTATGGTAGAAATAATATAGTAATTCCCAATAGGCTAAAAATATTTATAACTAGAGCATTTCAAACCAATTATCTTTAAAGATTCAAAATACTTATTTCTAACTTGATATTTAACATGGGAAAATGAGTTTATTTAACTGTGATCCTTAAAATATACTGAAAAACCTTTTTAGATGAAGGGTTTACTATATCAGCAATCATAATAAACTTTATATTCAAATAACTTTAGCTATAGAATTTTCTTAATTATTTCTGGCCTTTTGTTTTCATTAAGATGATTTTAGTTCCTGAGCTTATGGAAAATATTATTGTTTTATTTTTATGTTACTGAATACCCTAAGTTGTATTAGAATTATAGAATCATGATTGAACAACTAGTCTGATTGTAGAACTAGTCGGATGTTATAAAATTCTCTATAACTATTGTATTGTCTTTTATGTACAACAGAAAGAACATCCAGAAATGAAAGGCTGCAGAAAAGAAAGGTAAACAATTTATGTCCTCTGCTATCTTAATGGTTTCTGAAATTCTAAAATGAGACAGATATGATTATGAGGCAGAAGATGCTGTCAGAGGAGGCTTCACAAGGTCATGTTTACTGGGTGACTGCCACACCTCTGGCGGAGAGTTAGTCTTCAACTGTTTTGTTTTTTTTTTTTTTGACTGTACACCAAGGAATGGATCATTGAGAGGTGGACTCACTCACTCCCAAAAACAGGCATATAAGCCAGAATATGGAATTATTTGTAGTGATACCTTTAAGTTCTATAGCCTGGGATGTATGCATTAGTGTAGCCAGTTAACCTCACCCTGTGGTCACCTCTATGGAGGAGTCCAGGATATAAAGGCAATTGGTGAGCATGACATCAGAGCAAAGTAACGTTAGTTGGAAATTAAATGGCATCATCTATAATCATCTAGAGCAGTCATTTTCACAGGACATACACTATACCGGTTTTGTATTGGTTAAATGGGCATTGCTGAATTTTGCCACTTTAAACCCTACTTTTGTATGCTGGCCATCCTCTTCTATTTAATAATTTTTGAAAAAAATGTTAATGTGATTGACTAAGCTATCAAGTACTAGTTATTCTCTGGGGCTAGAAGACATATAATTTTTTATTATATATTTATTCAGTTTAACCCTAATTTACTTATTTCCAAGTTCTTACTCTTTATTTTCCTTTTCTCCTCTTTCCAAGTTCTTAATGTCCCCTCATGTACTGACATCCATCAAAGAACTTTTAAAAATTGCTTTATAATATATTAACTCGCCCCTTCATGAACAAAATGTAAAAATTTTGCTAAAAGTCTAATTAAATACATAAATAGAGAAATTTTTAGTGAAGAACTTGTGGTATTGAAGGGGACCCTTGCCTAGAGGGATGGAGGAAACAGTGCAGAGATACTTAGGTAGGTTTATTGCTTTTTCACTTGAACAATAGCTTTGTGGGAGGTCATATTTTTCATAGCTTGCAATTTTGCTTTTCTTGTAATTGCAGCTTTTTACTTTAAATAACTTAATTCATATTTAAAATACTAATTTACTTTGTGTTTTTTAGGCACTACCTCCTAGGACAGAGAAAATGGTTGTTGATCAGGACTGGCCTAGTGTTTACCCTGTTGCAGCACCATTTAAACCCTCTGCAGTTCCTCTTCCTGTTCGAATGGGTTATCCAGTAAAAAAGGGTGTGCCCATGGCAAAGGAGGGGAATCTAGAACTGTTAAAGGTGAGTTCATTGACTAAGGCTTACATCTAAATAAATGCTGATCTTCCTCCTTCCCCACTCTTCTTAAGCTCGTATTAGAAGCTTATTGTATTTTAATTTAAATTTTTTTTTTCTGGTAATAACGAGTGCTGTGTTTTGATTATCCATGGTAAAGAAGACTCAAAGAATCCTAGGCCTTTAAAAATATAATCAGTTCTGTGGCTTCCCTTGTGGCCTTTTCTGTTATATCTTTTCTATATTATGTCTTTTAAGTGAAACTAAAAAAAGTGAAATAATCTAATTTGAGATTGAGAATTGGGAGGTGAAGTTTCCAATTTTAAAAGAGGAGTTTTAGGCTGGGGCAGTGGCTCATGCCTATAATCCCAGCACTTTGGGAGACTGATGTGGGCACATTGCTTGAACCCAGGAGTTCAAGACCAACCTGAGCAACATAATGAAACTTCATATACAAAAAATCAGAACATTAGCCAGGGGTAGTGGCGCGTGCAGCGGCTCACGTCTGTAATTCTAGCACTTTGGGAGGCTGATGTGGGCGCATTGCTTGAGCCCAGGAGTTCAAGACCAGCCTAGGCAACATAATGAAACTTTGTCTCTACAAAAAATCAAAACATTAGGCAGGTGTAGTGGCACATGCCTGTAGTCCCAGCTACTCGGGATGTTGAGGTGGAAGGATTGCCTAAGCCCAGTAGGTCAAGGCTTCCATGAGCTATGATTGTGCCACTGTACTGGAAGAAAATGTGCTAAAAGGTGATGGTAAAAGATGAGATGGGAATAGTGAGAAGGGATACTCTGCTGCTAGAGACAGGTAAGTGAAATGTGGAAATGGGAACGTTTCAAGAGACATAAGAAAGCCAAACATTGAGGAGAACAAATATTTTCTTCAAATGAAAGAGATGATAATTTAAAGAGAGGGTCTTTGGAAAATGTCACTGGGTAAGAGAGTAACAACAATTTATAATAATGCTCATGGATAAACATAAAAATCCAAACATTTAATGCATGTCATCCATTTCTAGTAATGGTGTCAATGAATATGCTTATTAACTGAGCTAATAGAAGCAAAGTGCATAGAACAGTGCCTATGTAAATCCATGCAAACATTAGCTTTTATTTTTTCCTTTTATGATTTTGAGGCTTATATTTTCACATTAAAAAATAGAAGTATAGGAAATGAAGCCACCCATTCCATAAACCCAATTTTCAGTGCCTATTTCCTCTCAATTAAAATAAATATTGTCTAATCAATCCTAAAGATTCCTGACATAATTCTTGAGTGACTTTCTGCTTGCTCAGCTTTTCTTTCCAAATGAATCTCTTTAGGCTAAATTTTCTCTTTGGATGCTTAACATTATTCAAGAAATGTGCTAGTGAATGTTAGTTATTTTTTGAAGGACTCAGATCTCTGATCTTTCTTAAATTTTTGTTCACCCTATGAGAGATTAAGTAGCCTTTTAATGTATCATCATAAATATATTCCTAACTTTATTAAACTGTTCAGTCAAGATTTGCTAGCTTCATTTATTCAGTTCATATAATGATTATTATGTACAAAAGTAGGAATACTACCATGCTATGCATTCCAGGGGAATTGGGATGATTACACAATGATATGTGTCCTTAAGTCTTTTCAGTTTTATAAGAAGAATATACATAAATCTGTAGATTTGTGGCAGGAAAAATGCTATGAAAATAATGTCTATTTTTCCAACATGAATGTCATCATATTTGGTAAAAGGCGAAAGATTGATATGATCTAAAGACAAACAAGAATATCATCTTATGTTCCTTGGTACTAAATCTATATTTTAAGAATTTGTTTCTTGAATTGACAACATCTATGACACAGAATTAATTTTGTAAAAAAATGATCAGACTTTATTTACTATGTGGTTTGTTGGGCCTATGATTTAGTTTTATGAGAAAATTATCTTTTTCATGTTTTAAAGACATTTAACTAATTTGTCCTTTAAATTTATCTACTTTAGATCCCCAATTTTCTGCATTTGACTCCTGTAGCAATAAAAAGACATTGCGAAGCTCTTAAAGGTGAGTGATCACTTTCTTATACTAACTTTATATTGACTTTGAACATAAATTTAAGAATCTCAGTTCTAATATACTAAATGGTTTTAAATTTTAAATCATTGTCAGTTTATCCTTTTCTAAAGAATTTTTCAGGTTGTTTTCAGTGAATTGTTAGATGTCAAATCTGCAGTTTGTTTTGGCTGAGCACTTTACAGGGTGCCATGAATAATATAGAATTATAAATGATAGTCCTTACTCACAGGTAGGTTACGGACTTACTGTTGGGTTATAGAAAGCATGTATTTAAAAAGACAAGAAAATATTGCAAAGTTTTATGAACAGATGCAAATCAATATGGTCTAAACTGAAGACAGTGTCAAAGGAAGTTGAGTAGCAGAATAGTCAGTGGGTTTGGTAATGGGATATTCACAGAGAAGAGTTTTCTTGAAGGATTATTTAAAATTAAAAAAAAATTAGAAGTGATTAAAAAAATAATAATAAAAAAATACAGTTAGAAAAAAATTAGAAGTGATACATGCATATGGTAAGCCAAATAGTAGAAGAGGCCAGGCATAGTGACTCACACCTATAATTCCAGCACTTTGGGAGGCCAAGATGGGAGGATTGCTTAAGGTTAGGAATTCAAGACCAGCCTGAGCAACATAGTGAGACTCCAGTCTCAACCAGAAAAAAAAAAAAAGTAGAAAAGCTTACAGTGAATAGCAATACTCTTAGGCACTTTCTTTCCCATTTCCATCATCTCAGAAGTGTTCTCTTTTAATCATTATTTAGTTCTAGTAGTTAATATCAGAGAGAGAGAATGTGTGTATTTATGTATATACTTATTTATAATGTATGCTGTGTAATCTATATATTTATATGTACTTGTATTTATAGTGTATACTCTATGTAGTGTGTGTGTGTGTGTGTGTGTGTGTGTGTGTGTGTGTGAGTTAATAAAATAATAGAAATAATCCCTGGAATATGATTACACCTCTAGTTCTGGATTTATTGATTTTGAACACTATTGATTCCTAGGTATAAACAAAATTCATATACTATTACTCTTTCCCCTTCCTACATGCATGAAGATAAAGACAAATAATGTTTTCAAATTCATGATTCTATTTATATCTTTATAATTATGTACATATTCCAGTTTAAGTTCTGAACTAATTTGTATGGATAAGCACATTTGAATTGTTTCAAGTTCATAGCTATTAGAGATTGTTTATGTAATTTAATTAAAATATATTCATGCTGATCTAAAGGTGTTATGTATATATACTCAATATATTGTTAAGGCTTTTCAGGAATGTGAAACCTAGAAACATGTCACAGATAGCCTGATTATGTTGTAAGGAGAAATAGGGTAGTAAATATAATTATACTTAAATTTGGCTTTTGCAAGGGGCTTGCATTATAAAATAATATAAGGAAGAAGACGTAAAGAGGTCCTAAAACAGGACTAGTAATTTTACTCTTGAAATGAAGGAAGAAAAATCATTTTCCTTTCATTTATGTGGTCTTCTGTTTGGGGATATTCAGATGCTTTTCTGTACCTTTAGAGTATGTTTCTATACTCTTTTATGCCTGGAATTGGACTAAAACTGATCATTGTTCCAAATTGGTGGTCTGTTTGGCACAAATCATGTGTCACTTTTTGACCCTTGGTAAAGCCAGCTAACAAATGCATTACACTGTGATAAATTTCATTTTTCTCCTTTTTAAACATTATTTTAAAATGTGTTTTTACAATCTAGAAACTGATCATTTAAATAAAATATTTTTATAATACTTTCTAATTTATAAATGAGAGGCTTTCCAAGAGCACATTCTGAAGAGTAGCATTATATTTTACCATACTCAAATGAGTGTTTTAATCTTCCCCTAATTATGCCTTTACACTTCTGCCAGCTTCTAGATTTAGGTTGCATCTTCCAAATAACTCAAAGGCTTTCAAATATTTCTTCTCAGTTTTCTTTCAAAGTAGGTCAGTTCAGATTTTGTATCGAACTTGCAAATGGAAAATCTGAAGCACAGGAAAGTTAGGTAATTTACCAAAACTTTAATAATCAGCGACAGAAGTTAAGTAAAAACCAGGGTCTTCCAAAGTCTAGTCTAATTGCTCTACCTATCAGATGAGTAAAGGCTAATAGAAATCTATTATGTACTTTCCAGTTGACTGTGTTTTTTAGACATATAATTTAGGTAATTTAATTTAAAAACTGTAATTATCCTTCGGTGTTTGAAATGACTTACAGTTAGAAAAAAATAAAAAAGATTTAGTGTAAACCCAAAAGCTCATAAAATTCCCCAAACTAGTCTCTTATAAAGTGCTTGGCAGTGATGATCTTATAGTGCAGGACATTGGAATTAGTTCATGATAGGAATGAAATTCAACCTCAGTAATCTTGCCCTGTTAAATTTTTTTTGAACATCAAAATGTTCATAATTGCAAAGATCTTTCCTCTCAAAGAGTCTGAATATTGATCTTTTACATAGAATATTTAGGGACTAGTGTGAGCTGTATTTAATTCGCTAGTGTGTATTTAGTCCCAGATATCAGAAAGTCTTTGTAACCCAGAGTGTCATTTTGCTGACTTTGATTTTAAAGCCTAAATGGGAGCTAAATATAGTACCTACTATAAGAAAATTGTTAGCTTGGGGAAATGTTATTGGCAAAGTACCTCTCCACTGTCCTTTAGATTATTACCTACAAGAGTTCCTATGTCTGCCTGTGATTTACCAGCCTCTCCTGCAGTTGTGCTTTTTGGAGGAAGCATGATCCATGAGATCTAACACGTTTGACCTAAGAAACCAATTACTTGTAGCTGCTTTTAAAGTGAGGCTATTTAAGGATTGAGGTTTCCATTGGGGGGGGGCTGATAGTGTCAGAAGTTTTCATCCCAAGCTAAAAGTCCTCTGTGACAGTAACTTCATAGGAACAAGGTGAGATGAAATCAGCTACTGATACCAGGGGAAGGCTGGAAGCTATGTCTCTTCCTTTAAGTTCATTGTTTTCCCAGTTGAGGCCTGAGTTTACACTTTTGTGCTATGGAGATAGAGAGCCATGTTCACTGTGCTTGGAGCTTCCTGTTGTGGCCTGGGTCTCAGAGACCCGGTCCCACTTCCTCTCCAGACAGTCTTGCCCGAGTATGAGGACAAAGTTGTTCCTCTTTCCAGTTAGCCCATTGGCACACGATAGTCACAAAGAAGAGATATGAGTGACTATAAGGATCCATTTAAGGATGACATAGGCTCTTTTGTACCTGTTTGAGTTGAGCCTGTATTCAACTCAATTTCTGCAAGATTGTTGACCACATCTGAGTTCCCTCTTAGAGCTTTTTGAGAACTTTTTAAATTCCCTTCAGCTGATCCTTAGTAAACTTCACTTGAGAGTAAATGAATATTATTTTCTGTTGCCTTTTCAAATACAGTAATGCTCTGGGCATCATAGACTTTATTTTAGTTGGTAAGGAGGAATTAAACTGTCATATAATAAGTATGTGTAAAGCTATACAGTAAGTCCCCTATATATGAACCTTCGAGTTGCGAACTTTACGCACATCTGTTTTTTTTAATGTATTATTTCTCTCCACCAGGTGTCAGTATAGCCTGTCAGATGCATACAATACTATGTAGCCAATTGTGTTAGTTAGGGACCTAGGTTAACTTTGTTGGACTTATAACAAATAGGACTTACAAATGTGCTGTGAGAATGGAACTCGTTTTATATGTTGAGGGCTTCCTGTAATAGGCTTCCATCACAGCACAATTCCCTTTTAATTGAACATACCATTCCCCAGCAAACCTGAAATATCCAAATCATTCCCTTAATTAAATTTCCTACTTATGATGCACCTAATAAGAAAAGGAATGAGGAATGATGGATTCTATGTGGAGTACAGAAGAGGATCTGTTCTTTCATTTCATGTGACCTAAAAGTGATCTCAGTAATTGATATTTTGGTATTATCTGGTAGTTTGCCTTACAATGAAAATTTACTTGCAAAACTATAATTGAGATTTTTTTTTCACTTCTTAGATTTTTGCACTGAATGGCCAGTAGCATTAGACAGTGACAAGAAATGTGAAAAACATTTTCCAATTGAAATTGACACCACTGATTATGTTTCATCAGGACCATCTATTCGAAACCCCAAAGCACGAGTAGTAATCTTAAGGGTAAGAGATTTTTTTTGAATATAAGAATCAATATAATACATCATTTTAAAATGCATTTGGTATGTATGATTATAAAACTATAATACATATTATCATAGGAACATTGGATGGTATAAAAGTTTTAAATTATAGAACTCATGCCTTTGGTAGGCCAAAGTTGGAAGATCGCTTGAGGCCAAGGGTTTGAGACCAGCCTGGGCAATATAGTGAGACCCTATATGCACACAAAAAAATTGAAAATTAACAGTGCGTGGTGGTGTGTGCCTGTAGTTATAGCTGTTTGAGAGGCTGAGGCAGGAGGATTGTGTGAGCCCAAGAGTTTAAGGCTTCAGTGTACTATGATTGTATCACTGCACTCCAGGCTGGATAACAGCAAGACCTCATCTTAAGATTAAATAAATAAATAAAATTGCCTAGGATCCTACCATACATGAATAACCATCATTAACTACAGTAGCTTATTTTAGTATATATATGTAGCTAGGCTTTTGTGTATATTAATGGAACGATACTATATGTGTTCGGTATATGTGTAAGTATTCTTTTTCACTTCACATTATGAATTGAACCTTTTCCAATATTATTCAACATCCTTTAATTTTCTTTGTAATGGCTACTACACTAACATAAATGAAGGGTCTTTTATGTGCCAAGAAAATGTTTGAGGTTGGGGAGTAATGTTGATCAATTCAGACTTAGCTCTTTTTCTGAGACTGAAGGGGGAGATACAAACAAATAATTCCATAACATAGGTCTGCCACAGATTATTTAGGTTATCCATATTATGGAACGTTTATGCTTTTTAACTATTTTTTTATTAGAAAGATGTTGTAATGAATGTCCTTAGAGATTAATACTTTTATATGTTCCTAATTATGTTGCTAAGATGATGTCCCTAAAGGCGAACTGAGAGGTCAAAGGAAGTAGCTCCTTTTAAGTTTTTTTACATATATTGTAAAATTCCAGCAGGAAATGTATAAAATATAATACTAGCTGATTATAAGGAAGCCTGTTTTCCTATGTACTCACCAACTTAGATATTATTATTCCCTATCAATTTAATATGTAAAAAATTTATCTTTTTTTTTTTCCTTGAGCCGGAGTTTCCACTGTTGCCCAGTGAAGAGTGCAGTGGTACAGTCGCAGCTACTGCAGCTTCAACCTGCTGGGCTCAGGTGATCTGGGCTGATACTACAGGCGCATGCCACCATGCCTAATTTTTTTTTATTTATTGTAGAGACAAGGTCTCTCTATGTTGCCCAGGCTGATCTTGAACTCCTGGTCTCAGGCAGTTCTCTCACTGGGTCTCAGGCCACTCCCGGCCACCACAGCCTCGACCTGCTGGGCTCTGGTGATCCTTCCACCTCAGCCTTCCAAGTAGCTGGAACTACAGGCACGCGCTATCACGCCCGGCTAGTTTTTGATTTATTGTAGAGATGAGGTCTCGCCAAGTTGCCCGGGTGGGTCTCGAACCCGCGGGCTCAGGCAGTCCACTCACCTCAGGCTCGCAAAGCACGGGATTACAGGCTGAGCCACCGAGGCCGGCTCTTATTTTTTTAAAGAACATATTAAATGTTACCTATTTTTCATAATAATGATAAAGCAACCAATAGTTGTTGAGCTCTGTGTTTTATGTTGAAAAAAAAAAATCTCAGAACTGAGAGTAAGCCAGCCTAGCCCTAATTCATGTTGTTTGCCTCCCTTTCTGTGGGTCTCAGTCTTCAGTACTAGAACAGACAACTGAATAAACAAGAATAGACAACTGAAGGGCCTACTGGTTCTAGGTTTGCTTATTTTATTTCACACAGAAATAATCTCATTGCTTTATTTGAAGCACTAAATGTCACTTCTTATATTATGCTTTTCCTCTTATCTCCTTTTTGTGTCTCAGGCCACCTGTCTTATACTCAGGTTCTTCAGGACTGCTTAATTTCCAGGATTTTTGTCAGGAATAATTGAGATTAACAGAAGAAAGCACTTTTTTTCCTTTAAAGACCATCTGTCTTTACTACTGTCTTATATCCTTTTGCTGACCCATGCCTGCCCTACTGGACTCTTGTCACTCTACTTGCTGACTGTTGAGGCTCAGTGGTGGTATCCTGGGTCATGCCACGTAGTTCAAGGGAAAAAGCAGGTACAACAGTTGGACTAGAGCGTGTGCAGTCCAGCATGATCAAAGCAATGCTGGAAAGGTAGTCAGATATACAAAATACTATTTTCAGATACTCAATTTTTTTAATTCAGAGAAAGATGGTATCATGTTTTTCTTAATAGGCATAAAAGTAATTTAGAATTTAAAACAACTTATATCTGTATAGGACTTTACTTTAAAAGAACTTTCTTTGGCTAGATGCAGTGGCTCGTACCTGTAATCCTAGCACTTTGGGAGGCTGAGGCAGGATTGCTTGAGTCCCAGGAGTTCAAGACCAGTCTGGCAAAATAACAAGACCCCATCTCTGATTTTGAAAACAAGTTTTAAAAAGTGCTTTCTTCTATTAATCTCAATTATTCCTGACAAAAATCCTGGAAATTAAGCAGTCCTGAAGAACCTGAGTATCAGGAGGCTACAGTGATTTGCTTAAGGCAACATAGTAAGTGGCACATCTACAAATCAAACCCAATTCTTGTCTTATGTATAATATTAGAATTATTCAGCCGGGCTCGGTGGCTCAGCCTGTAATCTCGCACCTTGGGAGGCTGAGGTGAGTGGATTGTCTGAGCCCATGGGTTCGAGACCCGCCTGGGCAACTTGGCGAAACCTCATCTCTACAATAAATCAAAAATTAGCCAGGCGTGATAGCGTGCGCCTGTAGTTCCAGCTACTTGGAAGGCTGAGGCGGCAGGATTGCCAGCGCCCAGCAGGTCGAGGCTGCGGTGGCCGGGAGCGGCCACTGCACTCCAGTCTGGGCAACAGAGACTCCAACTCAAAAAAAAAAAGAATTATTTAACTAACCACACCTAGCTGCATATAGAGAAAATACTTCAAATATGGGGCGAACCAAAAATAAATGGAATTATCTTTTGGAGGGCAGGCCCCTTGTAGTTTTCTTGGAATTTGTTCCTCCAGATGAAATGGTCAACCAAAGTTTTTACCTGGAAGTTTTGAGAAAGTTGCGTCATGATTTGCAGAAGGAACATCCCAAGTTGTGGCGGCAAACAGATGACTGATTCTTCCACCATGACAAAGTACTGAGCCACACCGCACTGAGTTTTCAGCAGTTTTTGACCAAAAACAACAGGACCCATGTACCCCACCCTCCCTAATTAACCCATCTTGCCCCAAGCAACTTTTTTTTGGTTTCCCTGGATCTAAAAAGTCCCTTAAAAGGAAATATTTTGCCAACATGGAAGAGGTAAAACAAAAAATGGCAAGCACTAAAAGACATCAAAATTGATGAGGTCAGAAACTGTTTGGAGCAGTGGAAAAAGTATCTCAATAGGTGTATTGCATCAAACAGAGAGTACTTTAAATATGACTGAAGTTTAAACATATAAGAATAAATATAGAATTTTTTATAAATAAATTTAGTGGTTTTTGTGTCCCCCTCATATTGAGACACTTACCAATTTATGTAGCACTTTCTGTGTTAGAATATAGGCATTTGGCCAGGCTCTGTGGCTCAGCCTGTAATCCCAGCACTTTGGGAGGCCAAGGCGAGTGGATTGCCTGAGCCCATGGGTTCAAGACCAGCCCAGGTAACTTGGCGAGACCTTGTCTCTATACTTAAAAAAATATATATAGACATTTGAGAGCAGGTGCAGTGACTCAAGGCTATAATCCCAGCACTTTGGGAGGCCGAGGCAGGAGAATTGCTTGACCCTAGGAGTTTGAGACTAGCGTGGGCAAATAGTGAGACCTCACCTCTACAAAGAAATCAAAAAATTAGCCGAGTATAGTAGTGCATACCTATAGTCCCAGCTATCCAGGAGGCTGAGGCAGAAGGATCAGCTGAGTCCAGGAGATTGAGGCTGTGGTGAGCTGTGATTGTGCCACTGCACTCCAGCCTGGGCAACAGAGTGAGATCTCTAGGGAAAAAAAGAAAAAATATATATGTATTTAAAATATAACTACAACCCCCTATAATTTCAAATTTCATTATTTGGGAGATAATGTTAATAGTATAATATTGATTGTTTGAAATATAGCAATTTGGAGGGAAAAAACCTAAGGGTTCTTTTGAATTTTGGTAAAAGAAAGACAATACCACTCATCCTTGAAGTCTGAGTATTAGTCCAGGTTAAAGACTATAATTTTGCAGTGCCTTTGAGTGCTAGTAGGTGGCATGAGTGCACCACACAATGGTTGATGAAATATTTATGATTTTTGGCATAGATTCCATGTAGTGTTTGGACTTTAAAATGCTAATATGAATGTGAGTTTTAAAGCAGTTGCTGCAATAATGATCAACATTACTGCCATTTTTTTGACCACTTTTTACATAAAAAGCTAAAATACTTAAGTTTTTGAAATTTTAAAATTTGTTAAAAATTATTACAGTTACATTGAAAGGAGTTTTAAAAGCAAAAATCACTACATTCTCACTATTCTAATGTAAAAAGTATTCATTTTTCTCTATATACTGGCTCTGTATCTATGTATATGTGCATATATTTGCGTAATTGTAATCATAATGTATGTACATTTTCTTGCAAGTCTGCATATTGTTAGTAATCTATCATAAAGTAGCTTATTTTATCTATCTAGCTGCTTCATATTTTTCCAGAGGACTGTGATAATTCACATTGTCTACAACATGTAAACATTCTGTTGGACTGACACTTAATAGTCGATATTCATACTACTTGAGTTGTTTTTAAAAGTACATTTGTAGGGTAATCCCTTTGGGTCCCCTCCCACTGTGGGAGCTTTTCTGTCCTCTCAATAAATCCTGCTCTTTAAAAAAAAAAAAAGTGCATATATATATGTTTTTTCTCTAGTTCAAATGAAAAAGCTTACAGTACTGTAAAAAACAGTTTATCCTCCCTTTTTAAAATGTGTGTATTCATTAATATTTGTCACATGCTTTTTAATTACTAGGCCATTGCCAAGAACAAGATAGACATTGTTCTTGCCCTCAAGGGTTTCAAACAGTGGGAAAAATGGGAAGTAAATAGGTTACTATGGGGTCTTGAGGGAAATGTGGGGTTATTGAAGCTAGAGATAAAATCCTATTTAGCCTTTATTCTTCTTCATACAGTTATGACTTTTTCTTATTCCTAATACTCTCCATGGGAAATTAATCTATGCTTTACTATATTCTCTGTATTCTAGTCTAGTCTAACTAGCCTATTTTCCTGTGTCAAATCTGTTTAACTCTAGATAATACCTTTAGCTCATGCTGTTCTCTGCAAATTAAAGTGTGTTCACTTGGTCCGGCATTTCCCAAAATATATCTTAAGGAAGACTGATTTTGTGAACTGTCCCTGGAAAAGTGGGATCTGAAATCAAATAAATTTCATTGCATACCAACCCTGCATCTTGAAATTTCAAGTTGCTTATTAGCATATTATGTACTCTAAAGAATACTGCCTTAACGAACCCAATTTAACTCAGCATTTCCTAAATGTATTAAACAGAAATAGCCTTTAAAAAAAAAAAGAGAGTCTTCTCAACAACCTGTGGGACTGGTATTAACATTTTGAGAAACGTTGAGCTGAATTATTTCAAATGTTTTGATCCTTCCCTGATGCTGTATTCCAGCCTCCATTAGATATCTGTAGCTTTAAAAAATAAATACCCCTAAGTCGGGCTCGGTGGCTCAGCCTGTAATCCCGTGCCTTTGGGAAGCTGAGGTGAGTGAATTGCCTGAGCCCACGGGTTCGAGACCCACATGGGCAACTTGGCGAGACCTCATCTCTACGATAAATCAAAAATCAGACGGGCGTGGTAGCGCGTGCCTGTAATTCTGGCTACTTGGAAGGCTGAGGTGGAAGGATTGCCGGAGCCCAGCAGGTCGAGGCTGCGGTGGCCAGGAGCAGCCACTGCACTCCAGTCTGGGCAACAGAGTGAGACTCCAACTCAAAAATAAATAAATAAAAATAAATAAAAATAAATACCCCTAAACTAGTTGCAGTTATACAGGTCTCATAATTACATGATAGGAATTTCTTAAAGCTTTTACGTTTTATCCATTTATTTCTATATTCCAGCTTTACTAACACTAATTGAGTTTAATTCTATTAGTGTTACTCATAATTATCATAATTTAATTTAAGAGACATGTCATTAGTTTTTTCAGGGAAGATCCTAATACTCACAACTTTTTCTTTTTTTCTTTCTTTCTTTCTTTTTTAAGGCAGGACTTATTGACAGAAAAGCCCCCACAGTGGGAGGGAACCCAAGGGTTTACCCTACAACTTTCAAAGAACTTCAAATAGTATGTCCTCTTCCCTTGTTTTTTTTCTTCATTTTGTTTTGTTTTTATTTGTTTTTTGTAAGAACAGACTTCATAATGTGTGCCAGCTACTTACTCTGTATAGAAAGGTATTTGAAAAGCTTTCTTTTTAGTGGGTTTACTGTAAATATAAGTAACATTGCTACTTTTATTTTCATTAAGCAAAGTGTATAAAATAATTTTCTTAAAATAAGTTTTTTTAATATATTTTTAAGGTTAAACTTTCCAGTTTGAATTTAGATGACCATGCAAAGAAGAAACTTATTAAACTTGTAGGAGAGCGATACTGCAAGACCACAGATGTGCTCACCATCAAAACAGATAGGTAAAGAAAGAAAAGTTCTGCAGACTGACCATGTGTATTTCCTTATTGTTCTGGCAGTTCCTTTTATAGAAATTACATTGAGGGTAGGGTAGCATTTTTTTATCAGGTGAAGGAGTTGTCTAATTCATATTTTTAATATCTTCACACTAGTCTAATATTATTATGATTTTTACGTACACAGACATGCTTTGCTAAGTTAATGTTATTTTTAATTTTGGTTTTAATATATCCACATATATAGAACTCAGGAAAGATGTTAAAAGAAGACAAAATTACAATTTACTAACGATTAGTACTTAAACAGATTTTTACAAAGTCAAAATAAAAATCTTACAGTTCAAAATTAAAATTACTCAGTTATCTATATGGAAATTTATCAAGGCACTTTTGTCATAAGCAGAATTTCAGAGCTAGGATAGATGTTTTTAAAAGCAGCATTGTATTTATTGTATATGGATTTATAAATTTAGGTCATTTTCATGTGTGGTCAGGAAAAGTTGTTGGTATGTTTTATTAAGTGGCTATTTTATTTCTAGAATTATACTTAATTTGTTTCTAAATTATGTCAAACTATGACAGATCAGCCCTTAGAGAAAAGTGAGTAGGCAGATCTGCTCTCTCCCTGCCCAGCCCAGTTTCAAATCACTTGGAAGTGTCAATATTGATTAAGTCATATATCATGATTCTTAGTGGTAAGAAGAGTCTGACACACATGCAGAGAGATGGCAACAGTGTGAAAGCAGAAAAAGCTTGGGAACCGTGGTTTGTGATTATTACCATATGGGGGGAATAGACATGAAATATGTTAAGAATAGTCCTTTTGCTATCTTTAGATAGTGTTGCCTTTTTTAGTTCATGCAACTTTAAAAATATCTTTTAAATGTTATGATTTGAAATTCTGTAAGTATCCAAAAATGTTGCTTTTTTTTCTAGGTTTATAAGTATTAGTGTGTATATGTTTTATGATAACTATCTAGAGAACTTTTCAATAAACATAAGTAAAGAATAAACAGTACATTTGAAGTTATTTGCAATAGGATGGTTTTATTTTATATTTAAAGAAATGGGAACTAATTATTTCCTTTTTTACAACGATGTTTTACCCTAAATGCTTACTGTGCCATCTCATGTGTATGTAGAAGTTTTACCAAATTTTAGGTTAAATACAGGGGTGACAGTATAACATTGCATGATGTAGCTCATTTTAAAGACAATCACCTCCAGGGAAATCAAGATTAACATTTAGATTAGCATCTGTCATCTGTCTATACCTACTTTTTAAATGAACTCATCAGATATGCTCATGCTGTCTGGCAGATTTTTAGCACTGAGATAAGGGGAACTTGGATTGGGCATAGTCTTATTAAAAGTAGCATAAAGCTATTTTCATATAAAATAACCCCATTACCAATGAAAGCAAAGAGGTACTCTACATTAAGATAAAAATAACGCCAGTATGCAATTTCCTCAAGTAAAGAACTACATAGATAATTTTTTTTCCAAAAACAGAATTTTCCTAAATCAGAGAGGGAATAATCTGAAAATGTTATCTTCTGTATTTGTTATCTTTTGCAAATTATTCTGTACTGACTTTTAAACATTTTGACTTTCTTCTTCTTTTTTTTAAAAGATGCCCTTTGAAGAGACAGAATTATGATTATGCAATGTATCTTCTAACAGTTCTATACCATGAGTCTTGGGTAAGTGTGTGTGAATGTTTAATGATTTTTGTCAGCGTAATTTAGATGATGTTAACCTTCCAAAATATTGTCTGGCAAGTATTTTGTGAACCACTGAAAATAATCTAAACATGTATGAAATGTCTTAGACAGTTTCTACTGATATTAAAAGTGGAGATTTTAAAAATAAATTATTCAGTCCATCTCAGGACCTTACTAAAATCATATGCCTAACATTTAGAGTTTTTGATAAATGTTCAGGGTCTACTTATGAGTCAGAACATGTCCTCAGTTCTTTGTTTCTGCAATAGATCACTGAGTATGATGAACTCTAAATCCATCCATACTACATAATACTACATGAAAGGGATTGGAAATAGGGGGTCACTGCCGGGAGAGGGGTGGTGGTGGTGGGGGCACATAACACTGATAAGGATACCTGATCCCAAGCCAGGCCAAGTGAGGACCAGTGGGAGGTCCAAACTTCCAGTGGGAGACCAAACCTATACGATGGGAGGCCAAAATCTGTACAGTGGCCACTTATGTACCTAACCCTGAACTGTACCCCACATGTTTTTTTTTAAAAAAAGAATACCCAGAAATTCTGGGTAAAAGAATGAACTTAAAAAATAAATAAGCCGGGCTCGGTGGCTCAGCCTGTAATCCCGCGCCTTTGGGAGGCTGAGGTGAGTGGATTGCCTGAGCCCGCGGGTTCGAGACCCACCTGGGCAGAGAGACATCTCTACAATAAATAAAAAAAAAAAATCAGCCGGGCATGGTAGCGCATGCCTGTAATTCCAGCTACACAGAAGGCTGAGGTGGAAGGATCGCCGGAGCCCAGCAGGCGAGGCTGCGGTGGCCGGGAGCAGCCACTGCACTCCAGTCTGGGCAGCCGAGTGAGACTCCAACTCAAAAAAATAAATTAAATAAATAAATAAATAAATAAACCTTTGATTTGTAAATAATTTGAGATTTAAAGAAAAGTTACAGATAGTAGAGTTCCCATATGCCCTTCATCCAGCTTCCTCTAATATTACTCTTACTTAACCAGGGTGCATTTGTCAGAATTTGCAAACTAACACTGGTGTGATACTGTTTAATAAACTCCAGACTTAAAAAAAAAAAATTAGGCTGGTCATGGTGGCTCAGCATGTAATCCCAGCACTTTAGGAGGCCGAGGCAAGTGGACTGCCTGAGCTCAGCCTGGTCTCAACTTGGTGAGACCTTGTCTCTACAATAAATCACAAAAATAAGCTGGGCATGGTGGTGTACGTCTGTAGTTCCAGCTACTTGGAAGGCTATGGTGGAAGGATTAGAGTTTTTGACTTTTTTTTTTGACTTTGAGTGAAAATTCTCAGTTATGAAGAGAATAACTATTCATGTGTAAATTTGAGAATTTATGATTCATTTTTTTTCAAATAAACTGCAGAACAAAACTCTAAAACTTTTAAAAATGTTTAATGTTATCTTTTTTTTTTAACTTGGAGTCTCACTCCCTTGCCCAGGCTGGAGTGCAGTGGCACACTCACGGCCACCCCAGCATTGGATTGGCCTGCTGGGCTCCGGCAATCCTTCCACCTCAGCCTTCCAAGTAGCCGGAACTACAGGCACCTGCTACCACGCCCAGCTAAGTTTTGATTTACTGTAGAAATGAGGTCTCACCAGACTGCCCAGGCTGGTCTCGAACCTGTGGGCTCAGGCAATTCACTTGCCTTGTCCTCCCAAAGTGCTGGTATTGCAGGCTGAGCCACTGAGCCTGTTTATTTAATGTTTATTAAATGTTATCATAAGTGTTTATTAAAATTTTTAGTTAATACATAGCCTTTTGTGTGAACGTTTGACTATTATACATTAGGGCCAATTAAGGGCAATCAATTACAGATTGAGAATCCCTTATCCAAAATGCTTGGGACCAGAAGTCCATTTTAAATTTTTTGATTCTGAGTCGGATTTTGAGTTTTTTAGAATTTTGGAGTATTTGTATATACATAATGACTTATCTTGGGGATGTGACCCAAGTCTAAACACAAAATTTGTTTCGTATATACTTTAAACATATGGCCTGAAGGTAATTTTATACAATATTTTTAATAATTTTGTGCATGAAACAAAGTTTTGACTACAACCTGTCACATAAGGTCAGGTGTAGAATTTTTACTTGCAGCATCATGTAAGTGCTCAGAAAGTTTTGGATTTTTTTAATATTTCAGATTTTGTATTTGCAAGATAGGGATGCTCACTCTGCATTTATATAGTATTAAAAAAGAGTCTTATGTCTGAATGTATTGAATTTAAGTGTAAATATATACATTTATAAGGAAGATCTTGCTATGCTTGAGCATCAGTTCATCTGTTGGTAACCAGTGTTTAGGTTTTTAAAAAGTAAGGTAGCCGGGCACAGTGGCTCACACCTTTATAATCTCAGCACTTTAGTAGGAGGCTGAGGTGAGAGGATTGCCTGAGCCCACGGGTTCAAGATCAGCCTGGGCAACATGGTGAGGCCTTTTCTCTACAGCAAATCAAAAAATTAGCTGGGCATGCTGGCACATGCCTGTAGTTCCACCTACTTGGAAGGCTGAGGCAGAAGTATTGCCTGATCCCAGCAAGTCAAGGCTGCGGTGACCATGAGCGTGTCACTGCACTCCACTCCAGCCTGGGCAACAGAGTGAGACTCAGACTCAAATAAATAAATAAATAAAAATAAAAAGTAAAGTAATTTTAGTTGTGCTTACAAATTAATTTTTTTGTGGCTTACCTAACATAGACAGGGGACTCAGTAGCATTTCATATTAGGAACGTTTGAAGGAATAGAGATAGCTGGAGAAGGGGGTCACTCTCTTACATGGTCAAAAGACTTCATGTGAAAGAGAACTTAGATTTGTTTTTGATGACTTAGAGATATAAGATAGAAACAATAGTAAGACAGACTTTAGTTCATGAAGTGAGAGCTTTCTAAAGTGCCCTCTGAAGATGCAGTGGGCTACTTTGACAGGTAGAAAATCTTCCGTGCATTGGCCATTTAGTGAAGATAGGAAAAGAAACATATCCCTTGGATAGGTAGTTATATTACATGACCTTTGGAACCTCATTTCAGCCTGGAGATTCAGTGACTCTGAACACATACAGCTGTTCTCTGAACTGCTCACGGCTTTTTATTGGTATAAATAATAAAACTGTTTAAACACAAAAGCATGAGTGAAAAGTGAAGGGAAAAAAACCTTATTGTGAGGTGAGTAAAGAACAAAAAATAACTGGTAGCTCTTCCCTTCTTTTGAGGCATTCTCATTATCATAATTCATCTGGATTTTCCAGTTCCTGGCTTCAGGAGTAACATCATAATAGCAGTTAATCTCTCTTTCCTGTATAATTGATTTTAGCAATGCCTTCAGCTTAAGATAATTAAGTTTTCTTTGAACCAGCAACATGACTGAATTAGCTGCAGCTTTATGGCTTCTGCTTAGAGAGTTAATAAACAATAAAAGCCAACCAGTTTTGAGTTTCTTATTTTGCCTGCAGCCTGTAAAATGAATTTGCCCCAAAGGAAATGACAGTGAAAGTTGATTTATGGGATTCTTTCTGTGATTCCATGACAGAATCCAAACAAGATTGCATTCTGGATTTATGCAAGAACACTTTGCTCTTAAGTGCTAATTACTTTGATGCCAGGCTAAGTAGCCACATACAGCTGTCCAAACAGATATAATGAAAGAATTCCTATATTAAAATGGGTCCTTGGTCCTTTCTAAACAAGTACTATCAGTGAAGAAGCTTTAAGAGGATGTAGATGAGTTGTGAAATTTTGCATAGCTGTTGGAACAGATTTTTTTGTTGTTGTTTTTTTTTTTTTTGAGTTGGAGTCTCACTCCGTTGCCCAGGCTGGAGTGCAGTGGCACGCCCCCGGCCACTGCAGCCTTGACCTGCTGGGCTCTGGCGATCCTTCCGCCTCAGCCTTCCAAGAAGTCGGAACTACAGGCGTGCGCTACCACCCTTGGCTAGTTTTTTGTTTATTGTAGAGACGAGGTCTCGCCAAGTTGCCCGGGCAGGTCTCGAACGCGTGGGCTCAGGCAATTCACTCGCCTCGGCCTCCCAAAGTCCTGGGATTACAGGCTGAGCCACCGAGCCCGGCCAGAACAGAATTTTTATTGAATTGGAATTTTTTTTTCCCTTCACCAACATGGAATTCATACTTGAAATTGATATTGCCACCCGGGATTTAATCAGATATTTAAAGAGCCCCTTTTTAATCCATTGTTATTTTGTTTAGGCTAGCTTTTGAGCATTTAATACTCAAACATATGCTTCCTTTTCAACCTTCCTGTGGAGATTACCTCTTAGTAACATTGAGAGGAAAGGCTTTTCAACCTTCCTGTGGAGGTTACCTCTTAGTAACATCGAGAGGAAAGTAGTTGGTAGTTTTATGTAGCACAAAGTACTGAAACTGCTCTGTAAAAGTAGGCATCTAGACTTCAGTGTAAGGATGTTACTGTTGTATGCTATTCAAAGCAATTTAGCTATAGAAGTATCAAAGTAGACTTCAGTAAGCACAGATGTCTCAAAGTTTAGGCATAAGGTGTAGAGGATTAGGAATGCTTCAAAGAATGATTATTTCAGTGCTAGGATGGGGATAAGAAACATATTCACTAGACTAGTTTTCCTTCTCAGTTTAAAGAAGCTAGACTGGGTAAGATGGCTCACTCCTTAATCTCAACACCTTGGGAGACTGAGGCAGGAGGGTCACTTGATGCCAGGAGTTTGATGCCAGCCTGGGCAACTTAGTGAGACCCCATCTCTATAAAAAAAAATTAAACTATAAAAAAAAGAAGCAAAGACTTGTAGAAATTTGGTTTACTATTTTAGTATTATATATTGTTAACATAGGAGTGAATAAAGTTTTAACCTTTGGAACCAGACAGATGTGAATTTGAATCCTGGGTCCATTACTTTAAGCTACCTGTATAACAGTCAACCATTTAACCTTTGAGGCTCAGTTTTCTTCTAAAGGTTTTTGGATGGATCAGGAA